ACACACATATGTCTATGGGCCTCAGTTTGCTCTACTGTGCAGTGAGGGTACTGGACTATATCTCTCAGACACCTTCCTCTAAGTCCATCGAAACTGGTCCATGACCAGGATGAAGTCAGCAAATAAAAGGGTTGAAGTTTAGAACTGAATACAGTCCAATCTCTTTATTTTGCAAGCCTGAGTAATCCCTAATAGAAGCACCATGTCAGCAGTCAGAGAATGGAGCAATGAATTCTACTCAGAAGGAAGGTAAGGCTACAGTAATGAGGCACAGGAATAGCTGAAACAAACGCTCAAACTCTTCCAATTGCACAATGATGGTCAGCCCTGAGAAGGTCTATTAATGACCAGAGTACCAGAAGACAGCTTGGTCTCAGATTACCCCACCCTACCAGATTGTTAGTTCCTTGAAAAATGTCACTAAGTTTTGTTCACAGTTGAATATTCAGGACCTACCACAGTGCCCAGAACATAGAAAATGTTCCTTTAATGCATGGTAATTGAAAGAATAGATAATAATTGCCAATATTTGGTACTTACCGAGTGTGAGAAACTATTCTAAAGGTTTTATATTTGTTAACTCAGACAGACCTTGCAAAATGCATATGAGGCAGATACAGCGATGATCCTGTTTGTGAGATCAGGAGGCTTACACATATAGTACGTGATGGGAACAGGCAACCTTGTTCAAGAATTCATGCTCCTCACCACTACAACATTCTACCTCTTAAATGAATGAATGAATGATGGAATACATGAATGAATAAATCAGATGAGCGAATTGGAAGACCATTCACCATGATACTGACACTTGAGTTCATTTGGTAATGGTTATATGGACAGTTCTAGGCGTGGAAAAGCATGGGGGCCAATGAGGGTCTTCATTGAGAAATCAAAGTTTCTAAACAGCTCTGGTGTTAATTTGCTTAATCTCTATGGGGCTCATTTCCCTTTATCAGATTCCCCCGCATATCCCTACATACTAGTCCCTCTAATAACATCCCTTTCACCTTTAATATTCCACATATTCTACATTTTAATATGTGCTGGAAATACTGTGTCTCTGCTGGGGGAATGAGGACAGGGGTTCCAAACTCAGAGGGCTCTGAGTTCTCACAGTTAAAGGAGTTTTGAGAACCATGGTCTAGTGGTAATGGCCTTTCCTGCCTAAGGGCATTCAAACTGAAAAGATTTACATTTCATCAGTAGCCAAACAAAATAGTTCAGAGGGCTGCCTTGGGGCCAGCAGTTTTCAGCTCCAGTGCTATGGTTGGATGCTTGGTCTAAGAATTCCACTGAGGAGGCCCAAGTGATCTCAGAAGAAATTCCTAAATAAAAATGGGAACAGGACTACTGAAGATAAACCAAGTGGAGTGGTCCAAATCATCTGCAGTACAAAACAAGGGCTCTCAGAGTTGACCTTGGTTATTCAATTTCACTCCAGCTTTTCCAACAAGTTATACCCTAAAAACCTTGTATCAATCTTTATCAATGTTACTTCACCTTTTACACAAGTGATGAATTTAACAAAGATTGTTGGTCTCTTCCTTTCTTTTTTTTGGATACGGAGTCTCACTTTGTCACCCAGGTTGGAGTACAGTGGCGTGATCTCAGCTCACTGCAACCTCCACCTCCCTGGTTCAAGCGATTCTCCTGCCTCAGCCTCCTGAGTAGCTGGGATTACAGGCACCTGTCACCACACCTGGCTACTTTTTGTAGTTTTAGTAGAGATGGGGTTTCACCATGTTGGCCAGGCTGGTCTTGAACCCCTGACCTCAGGTGATCTGCCTGCCTCAGCCAACCAAAGTGCTGGAATTACAGGCGTGAGCCACTGTGCCTGGCCTGGTCTTTTTCTTAGTTTTAAGAAATGCAAAGGATTTGAATTTAAAAGTAAACTTTCCTATTTTCATCATTTTGCAATGTTAAATATTAATAGAGTCAGAGCTTCTCCTTGACAAGGATAACATCTGTCATTTCCTTGGGTCCTGTTTTCCTTTGTAAGAGCTCCACAAGCAACCTCCAAAGGAAAATTTCCTGAATGTAAAACAATGGGAGCTTACCACAGGGAGACATAACACTTGCTGCATTGAAATCGAACAGCCCTGCATGTGTCCAAAGGAAATGGATAATGACCAATAAAGAAGGGCAAGCACAATAATAACAGAAAAGAAGTTCACTGAAACTTGTAGTTCTATGAAAACAGGCTTACCAAACATCTGCAGTTGAAAAGTTAAAAATGCTCTGAACTAATATTAAGCCCCACGTGAAACTTCTGTCCTGTTACGGCCTGTGAGTCAACACATTCTCTTTCTGTAAGCCTGTGAGGCTTGGGTTATCTGCATGTTTTAAAATATATATATACACATATATATATATATATATGTGTATATATATATTTTAAAGTTGCCTCCAGTCAGTTCAATTTGGGGAATTTTTTTTCCATTTTTATATCCCAAGTCATCTAAAGACATGTAACTTAGAACACTTGCATTTATTTATTTACTTATATAATTTTTTGGTATATATTTAAGGTATACAACATGATGTTTTTATACAAATAGAATGCTTTATTTATTTATTTATTTATTTATTTATTTATTTATTTATTTATTTTTGAGATGGAGTCTCGCTCTGTTGCCCAGGCTGGCGTGCAATGCCGCCATCTTGGCTCTGCAACCTCTGCCTCCCAAATTCAAGCAATTCTCCCGCCTCAGCCTCCAGAGTAGCTGGGATTACAGGCACCCACCCTCATGCCCAGCTACTTTTTTGTATTTTTGTAGAGATGGGGTTTCACCATGTTGGCCAGGCTATTCTTGAACTCCTGACCTCAGGTGATCCTCCCACCTCGGCCTCCTAAAGTGTTGGGATTAGAGGCATGAACCACGGTACTTGCTTTTAATCTGTTCAGTAAAACATCAATTTACTAAGCTGCAACTAATTAGAAGTTTTCGTTAAGCAAGTTTTGTTTTGCTTCAAATGATTACTTTGAGACAAGGCTCTGAATTGTCAGAGACATTTAATTTGAATCATTTACACTATATTAAAACTCGAGCAGAAAAGTGGGTTCATACACTTTTATCCACATGTACTTAGAAAAATTTTAGTGATAAATTAAAGGAAATAGAACACTAAATGCCCTGAGCATTCTAGTTAAGAGGTTTTAAAATAAAAGGCTATATTTTATTTTTGAAGGTTTTTTGTTTTTGTTTTTGTTTTTGTTTTGTTTTGTTTTTTAGAGACAGAGTCTCACTCTGTTGCCCAGACTGGAGTGCAATGATGTGTTCACAGGTCACTGTGGTTTTGGATTCCTGGGCTCAAGCAATCCTACTGTCTCAATCTCATTTTTTTTTTTTAATTAAAAAATGTTTCCATTGATGCATCATTGGTGTACCTAGTTCTGGGATATATGTGATAATTTAATATATGGGTTGTAAAGATCAAATCAGTAGACCAGACATACTGGCTTACGCATGTAACCCCAACACTTTGGGAGGCCAAGGAGGGAGGATTGCTTGCGGCCAGGACTTTGAGATCATATTGGGCAACATAGCGAGAACTTGTTGCTATGAAAAAATTTTTTTAAAAAATTATCTGGATAGGATGGCATGCACCTGTAGTCCCAGCTACTCAGGAGGCTGAGACAGGAAGATCACATGAGCCCAGGACTTCAAGGCTGCAGTGAGCTGATTGCACTATTGTGCTTCAGCTTGGGCAACAGAGCAAGCCCCCATCTCTAAAAATAAACAATAAGAAAAACTAAATAAAAAGATCAAATTGGTGTAGTTGGGTTATCCATCACCTTAAATATTTCAACACTTGATTTTGGAACCAGGGAATGTCACCTCTTTCAGGGCCCCATGGATGAGATTTTGACTGTAACACATTTCCTTCCGGAAAAACTTCTCACATCAAAAAAAAGAAAAATAAGGTCAATCCTGTTGGACAGAGGCTGTTTTACTCCTAACAATGCTTTCTGAATCGGCTTTATAATAAAAAATACAATTGGTGGCAGGCAGAAGATAGAGAGCAGAAAAGAAGGGGGAAAGGCCAATTTGCTGAGAGGGTAAGGAGCGGATAAAATAAGTTCCCTCAAAATAAACAGGGAGCTGGAGGCCGGACGGAGCCCCGCTCAGCATGTCATCTGCATCCACTGGGCAACACGTTGAGGTAGACTCAACTGAACCTTGAACACCCCCCAGGGAGATTTGTGCTCTGTCTGGCACTCTGGTAGTGTATTTCCATGTCTGTATAGATTCCTTGTCTGGGTTTCTTTTATCCGATTGCAGCTTCTGTCAAAAAATCAGAGTGGAGAAATGAGCTGCTTGCAGTCAGACAGTTAGGGAATGACCTTGGGCAACTCGTTTCATCTCAAGTTTCATTTCCACACCAGGATATGAGAATCACATGGAAAAAAAAAAAAATAGTGCAGAGCACATGCCAGGTGCGCCTCATATAAGTTCATTTCTTTTCCAAAGCTCTAAGTAGGAAATATCTGGTATTGGGAGGCAACATGGGTTCTTCTGTGAACCCAGAAAATCTGAGACAGGTCTCAGTTAATTTAGAAAGCTTATTTTTCCAAGGTTGAGAACACACTGGTGACACAGCCCCAGGAAGTCCTGACATGTGCTCAAGGTGGTCAGGACACAGCTTGGTTTTATATAATTTAGGGAGACATGAGACATCAATCAATATATGTAAGAACTACATTGACTTGGTCTGGAACAGCGAGACAACTTGCAGCAAAGGCAGGAAGACTCAAGCAAGGAGGGAGCTTCCAGGTCACAGATGAGTGAGACACAAACCGTTGCATTCTTTTGAGTTTCCAATTAGCCTTTTCAAAAGAGGCAATCAGATATGCATCCATCTCAGTGAGCAGAGGGATAACTTTGAATAGAATGGGAGGCAAATTGGCCCTTTACAGTTTCCAGCTTGAGTTTTCCTCAGTGATTTTTAGGGGCCCAAGACATTTCCCTTTCACATTTCCCTTCTACTTTCTATAGAAGGAAGTTGACTTAGGTTGGGATCTCTGGGACCAGACTTTGGAATGGAGAAATGCATGCAGAAGCTTCAGTGAGACGTACGGAAATGAAGAAGGCAGGAATGGGCAGACAGAGAAGTTGGCTGGAAACCTGATGGCCCCTGCAGCCTCTGTCTTTCCTGTGGTAAGCTCTGGAGCTAAGAGCACCTCTCAGAGTTTTCGCAAAGGAAGACAATGGGGACAGGACTTGCATTCCCACCCCATCCAGTCATTGGCCATAGACCATCTGGGCAGAAAAGGGATGGCTTTGGATGAGGCAGTTGTCCGTGACTGAGAGCAGTGTCCACAGAGGAGCGCAGCTATGAGCTGTAAGCAGTCGCTATTCCCAGCAGTCAGGGAATGGTTATATTCACCCTGAAGTAGGGACCTGGGTGGAGCACCTCGATATTCACTACAGTCCACCCCTTGGGCCACCCAGACTTATCTGTGTCATATCATAAATTTGATCCATCTGGGAACAGTTTCTTCAGGATTCTAGTTGGTCTTGGTTTGTGGGGAACTTAAGAGTTCATGAGACAAACTCTAGCTCCTGCTGCTGCATTTGACCTTGAGGTCATAACTGAAATTCTCATTTCCTCTCCATCACCCATTTGAGATTCCGCTCACCCTCAGCTGATGCCTCTACCAAGCTGGGTGACTCAGCTAGCGGGCTGATACGGACTCTCATATCTGAGGATTGGAGCAGCACAGCATTCAGTATAGAACTTCTGCTTTGCCCCCACAAAGGGAACAACATTGACTTAACACTTTCCCTCTCTTCCTCGCCACCTCCTGACTTTCTCCTGCCCATCGTGAAGAGTAACTCATATAATTGGAAAGTCTAGGGAGAGGCCGACATTCACTGGACCATCTTAACCATAACCTCTGCCTTGAAAATCACTCAATGCTGGACCATCTCTATGTTTTTAACCCTCTCACCATCCTGGACCTATCTACAGTCCCAGAACTGTAGACGTTACCACTTCTAGTCTGATACACATTGCAGTTAGGCTAAGCCTTGATATGCTGGAGTAAAAACACCAAAATTTCAGCAGCTCAAAAAAAGTGTATTTCTCCCTCTCCAAAGGCTGCTTTGTGTCTGGGAATCTCTCCGACATTGTTGCTCCAGATCCTAGGCTGCTGCATTCTTGCGGCATCTCCACCAGGCACAAGACTCAAAGGTTCACCACAACAGAATAATAGAGTGTTAGAAAGCTGCCAGGTGTCAGGTGGTCAATTAACACAATGCACCAAACTGAAAGTAACAATTAAGCCTTTATTTACTTGCTGTGATGTGACTCTACATGTGACAAAAGGTGCCTGATCCCACAGCCTTGCATTTTGCCCCAGGGAACAACACCAGGCTAGGGTCAGATGACATGCAACCCAGATTGAGGGGAAGCGGAGAGCCTCCCTGAACAAAAGCCTCCTGTCATTTTTGGCTCTTGAGGGCTGGGAGGAGGAGGAGGGAAGGATAGAAGTGGGAAAATACTCAGTCAGAGTAAAGTGTTTTTAATTCCCACCCCTTTTTGGAGGCCTCCAAATGGGAGACTCCTAGACTATAAATGCAAACATGCATAACAGCTCTAACTGGGGGTTGAGGAGTCTTAGCCGTTTCTTATTTTTTTATTTTTTATTTTATTTTTTTATATTTTGAAACAGAGTTTTGCTCTTATTGCCCAGGCTGGGGTGTAATGGCGCAATCTTGGCTCACTGCAACCTCCACCTCCCAGGTTCCAGCGATTCTCCTGCCTCAGTCTCCCAAGGAGCTGGGATTACAGGCATGTGCCACCACATTCATCTAATTTTTTGTATTTAGTAGAGACAGAGTTCCACCATGTTGGTCAGGCTGGTCTTGAACTCCTGACCTCAGGTGATCCACCCACCTCGGCTCCCAAAGTGCTGGGATTACAGGCATGAGGCACTGTGCCTCGCTGGGAGCCTTATTCCTTAAATACAACTTCCTCCAAAGACTGCAATGCACCAGCCATGCACTACGTCCAGTGTGAGGAGGGCAGCCTCACCCACCTTCAGTAAGGCCTACCAGGTAAAGCTTTTGTAGTTGCCTGTGGTTCAGCCTATCCATCACACTTAGGATTTTGGCTTCAGCCCAGAGGTTACCATTTCAATTCCTGCTACAGCCTATTGGCCAGAGCTAGTCACATGGTTCTGCCTGACTTCAAAGAGGGCTAAGAAATGTGGTCTTCATTGTGTTAAGGAGGAGATGGAAAATGGCAATATTGATGAACACTAGTAATGTCTACCCCAGTGCAGGAACCAGACTTCTTGGGCCTGGCCAGCAATCAGTATTTGCTATTCTAATTTCTCCTTTTGCAACTGAACCAGGAGGTCAGAGTCCTCTGAGTCTAGAACCCTAGATTTAAGACAGGGGAGGTGCTGTGGAATTCTTCAGACAAGGGTTTATTATTTTAACAAACAGAACCTGCATTTTAATCCCCTCTTGGCTCTTTATGTTGGGCCTCATTTGCTTAGAACTCATGAGAGAGTCAGGCGAGCAGCCGCCTCCCCCAAATCAGCAACACCTGGCAACATGTAGCGTTTGCCACCATCGAAGGGGGAAAGGTGTCCACCCTGCCCAAGGGAAGGGTACGCTTTGTGTTTAAGGATTAGCAGATCACAGAAGTAACCACACGGAATTCTGAAAAGAAACTGAAGTTGCATAATAGCAAACTGTCATCCTTGCAGCTCACCCTGACCCCATTTTGCCTCCCTGCACAGGAAGAGCAGAAGTGTTGACACTGAACTCATCCAGCAACCTCGAGACATATAATCTCTTTGACAAATTCGTGAAAGATGCTCTGGAGAAATAACCCAGCTTCCAATGTAATTAGACATAAAGGAGGAAATCAGGAGACATTGATGTGGAGGGGATTGAGTTGATTGCAAAGCCCCTTTGCTGAGAGAGATACCTACATAAATCAACTGAATGGCAATGATTTTGCCCTTGTTACACTATACTGGGGACAAAAGCATCATTTGAGTTCTTATTGAGCCATATTTTCTTTCTTCATCCTTTTCTATGTTTATCTTTTGCTTTGAATTCTTTGTTTTTTTCCTTTTGACAGCAGGATACAGCCATATTTCCTTTGCAGAAAAACTTGCTTTTTATGATTCAAAATATTAGGGTAGCAACTATATTTTTTTTAAATCTATATGTAGACAAATTCCTTGAGGCACTATTACTAACATCAACCAATTTTGTCTCTGGATGGTGAGATTTCAAGTGATTTTTTTTGCCAATTGTACTAGGTTCCTTCAAGAGTGATTTATACTTTATTCTGTTGGGGACCCAGGGATTCTCTTATATTAAATCCAGTTTTTATGTTAATTTCTTAACTTAGAACCCTGAATTAAGTTGGTGGTCATATCAGAGCATGCAGCAGCCTGGAACACAATTAGTTTCAATTTGTCACAGGATACTGTTTCTTCCCCAGGTAGACAGTTCATTTTCTTGTCACTTCTCCAATCTGGTGGGCAAAGATTTTCTCTCCTCTTTTCACAGATGGACTGTATCACAGCTCCACCTTGGAGCCTTTTTCTCTGCTCCCCAGTGGGCATTAAATCCCCAGTCCCTACAGTCTACATCCAGAGAGGGTCCCTGGAAAATCAGCTTCTCCTAATGCTTCCCCTTTGGCTTTGCATTTCTTCTTAATCTCTGAAAAGTCATTTCTTTCAAACTCAAATAAGTATTTATTGTAATTGAACCAGTATTTCAATTACTTGTAGTGAGAAGAGTTTCTACACCCATTCAGTCCTCCTTCTTACTGAAATTGCAACTATAGGTAATGTTTATGTTGTGGATTGAATACTTACATTCCTCAAAATTCATATGTTAAAGCTGTAATCTTCAATTTGACTACATTTGAAGATAAGGCCTTTAGAAAGTAATTAAAGTTTAATGTAGTAATTACAGTGGGGGGCCCAATTCTGGCGGGATTAGTGTCCTCATAAGAAGAGAGACCAAAAAAAGCTCACTCTCTCTCTCTCTCTCTCTCTCTCTCTCTCTCTCTCTCCCCACACCCACACAGGGAGGCAAGGTCATGTGAGGACATAGTGAGAGATGGCCATCTGGAAGCCAGAAACTAAATCGTTTCATATGCTGAACTTGAACTTCCCAGTCTCCAGAACCGTGAGAAAATAAATTGGTTATTTAAGACACCCAGTGTTTTGTTATGGCTGCCTAAGTAGACTAAGACCAATTATTTTGACCTGTTTTTCTACCTTCTCAAATTTTCTTCAATGAGAATGTGTTGCTTCGGTGAAGGTTCTAAGTTCTGTTCAGTAAATATTTCTGGCTCTCTGCCTTCTGAGCACACTTGGAGTTGCACTCGCCTATCTTGAAGTTAGGGCATGGCCAGGAGACCATCTGGCCAATGAAAAGAGCCAGGTTATAATTCATCTCATTCCCTTCCTCCAGTGGGGCAATCCTGAAAACACATGATGTTGACACAAAGTTTCCATCATCCAGGGTCTTTGAGTGACTACCCATTAGCACAGACTTCCTGCCTGACAGACATTGATTGAAAAATAGATATATGATTGCTGCAGTTATTTGTTACTACAGCATGGCCTGGCCTACCCTGACTAACATACCTTCTAAATCACAAAGAAATAAATGTGTAAACCTTTTACAATTTAAATAACATCTGCTTTTAGATAGAATTAGACTGTACTTAGAACACATTAAGCCATGTTGGTTATCATCTACCTCATGGGGAAAAAGTGCAATAAAATATACTCTCAGCCCAAACGTGCATTATACTACTTTGTCTTTCATTGTTGATAATATTCTTTTGAACTCAAGTATCTCTATCTCTATCCAGGCTCTTCCTAAGTGATCATACACTTAAGAAGGATAAGTCATTAAGAAATTTTTAATCAAGAGTAGCTTAACATGAATACTGCATGAGCTCCATTATTACTAGATTACTGAATTGCTGAAGGACAAAGACACAGGAAAAGCCATTGAGTAAGCTGCCATAGTAGAGGGTTTGGGACAATTAAGTAATGAATCTTCTAGGAATAAAAAATGAAAGGTGATTTAAAAAGAAGGTCAAAATGTCTTCACAACATTAATCAAGGAAGGCTCCAAGACTGTTCAAAAAGAATGTAGTGAATGTTTTTTTCTATGGGAAATTACTTGTCCTATTTATGCATCTTACAAATCAGAAAATTCTAGAGGAAGAAATAAAGTGTAAGATGTGCCACTTAGAAGGAGGCAGCCAAGCAGCAGTGGGAAGATGCAAATACTTGCTGTATGTCATAAGGAACAATTACAGGCCCCTCATAAGAAATGCAACACAACTTCCCTCTGAACTCAGTAGTCCTCATTTTACATAAAGTATGAATAAAACATTGGGCTCTATTTCCAGAACAACCTGTTATAAAAATGGCATCAGTGAAAGAAATGGGGAAGGCAGGAGCAGTCAGGCAGTTATGCTATGAATGTCATAGCACAAATTTTTCCACTAAAAGTAAATGCCCCACATAAAAATGCTCCGCTTCACAGTAGCTACTCTGTGTTGTAGCGTCTGTGAATCAAGCTTGGGCTATAAATGCATAAGAGTGGACAACAGTGTGCCTTGCTAATTGCCACCTTCTCCAGTTGGCATGGAGCCTGGTAGAAAAAAAAAATACTATTTGCAGCTCCCTATTAAAAGCAAATCTCCTTGCAAATGTTCTCTGGAATATACCATTTTTCTTCTTTATTTCCAAAACATACGGAAGGTGACAAGATACTCTTGCCTCACCCACTTCTGCTGACAGGATTCTATATTAATTCCTTGGTAGGGATACTCAAAGTTACAGAAATAGAGAGCACATGGAGCCTCAGAAATGACAATATTAGGAAAATCCTGAAGCATCTGAATAAGTTTAGGTCAGCCCCTTTCTTCAAGCTTTTCATCTTTCTCACTTAACTGCTTCTAAGACAGAGTTTTGTTGACTTCTTTGTGACTTCCAGACCCAAAGTCCTCTGCTTTCCTGCTGGGTCCAGCCCGCTCCTGTCATCAAGCTTGGTCTATTTCCTTCCCTCTCCAATTTAGACCACAGGATCCACCACCGCGAGCAAGATGCAGCCAATACCCTCAAGTAGAATTGACACATTTGATGAGGACATTGGAAAGATAGTGGCACAAAGGGCACCAAGGACATTGATACATCAACTCAAAAAGGCATAAACAGTAAGGAAACGAGATTTTCTCATGTAACAAAAAGGGCACTGGTTCAGTCAATGATATTATTAAGGGCAGAGTTCCCTTTCATTCCTGAATCCTTCTATGTTACCTTGTTTTTAGGCTAGTTCACCAAGCATCACTTGCAGATAGGACAGCCTCCCAAGGTAGAAAATAAACCATCTCTCTCTCTTTTTTTTTTTTTTTTTTTTTTTTTGTTAGACAAGAGTTTCCCTCTGTCACCCAGGCTGGAGTGCAGTGGCACGATCTCGCCTCACTGCAACCTCCAACTCCCAGGTTCAAGTGATTCTCCTGCCTCGGACTCCTGAGTAACTGGGATTACAGGCATGTGCCACCATGCCCAGCTAACTTTTTTTTGTATTTTTAGTAAAGATGAGGTTTCACCATGCTGACCAGTCTGGTCTTGAACTCCTGACCTCAAGTGATCCGACTGCCTTGGCCTCCCAAAGTGCTGGGATTACAGGCGTGAGCCACCACACTCGGCCAAACCATATCTTTCTTAAATATTTTTTAGAAGCAAGAAAATATTTCCCTCTTTGTGGAAACCCCCTCATTGCCTGGAATTATATCACATGCTCATGCTCTTGCCCAAATTAGTCACTGGTAAAAGAAACATCGTGATTGGTTTAGACTGATAAGCATCAGGGCCATCCTCCCCTGAAGCAGATGTCTCATCTGAGAAGAGTAGTTACTAAACAAAAACCGGGTTCCATTTAGGAGGAAGGAAGGGACAAGAGTGGTGTGTGGTGTAAGCAATCAGTCATGCAATTCTAGATCAGTCCAACCATCTGCCTTTCCTCCAGCCTGGCCATCGACCTCTGCTGGCGAAATCTTGGAGCGTGCATAACAGGTGCTCACTAATGACAGTTTGACACACAGGACTTTATCACTTCCTGACAGTGTATCTAGTCCTGTCTCCTTCTCCATTCCCCAAAGGGAGTGTTTTAAACTTCTGTGTTGCTTCATCCCCTTTCACTCGCATCTCCCATCTACTCCCTGAAAATTGTCTCACCTCCCACCTCACAAGGAAAATGGGTGATATCAGACAAGAGCTCCATTGATTTTCTAAACAGCCCTACAAATGTACCCACTGGAACCCAGCCTGCTCCTTCTTTCCTGGAAACAATGGAAAAGCTGTTTCTCATCCTAAATCCACAGTAAATCCTTTTACCTCTACTATGGACCCTATTCTTTCTCCCTTTTCTGGCACCCTTCTGTCAGTAGGCGCCCTCTCTACTCTGTTTTCAATCTCTCGTTCACTGCCTGCTTAATTCTAACAGCATGGGATTCCATCAGCATGCTCAACTGCAGCCAATTTTTTAAAAGAATAAATCCCTCCTTTGTTCCATATCCCTACCAACTCCCACTCTAACTCTGTTCTCCCCTTCACAGGCAAAAACTTCTTGAAAGAGTAATCTCCACTTCCTGTCTCTTCTTCCTTGCTTCCACTCACACCCTAGATCATTTTGCAATCTGGAATCTATGCCCATCTTTTCACAAAAGCACCCTCACAGTGCTCCTAATGACCCCCTCACCCTTAACCCAAGCTCATTCTGTGACTGTTTCTTACAGACCTCTGCTGGTCTCAATATCTGTGGCCCCAGCAAAATCCATATGCTGAAACTTTAATCCTCAATGAGACCAGAGGTGTGGCCTTTGGGAAGCAATTAGGTGACCAGGTCTCCAACCTCACCAATGGGGTTAATATGCTTATCGAAGAGGCCTTGGGGAGCTTGTTTGCCCCTTCAGCCATTTGAGGACACAGAGAATGGGCCATCTAGGAGGCACGGGCCCTCACCAGACACCGAATCTGCTGGCCCCTTTATCCTGGACTTCCCAACCTGCAGAACTGAGCAATAAATTCTGTGGCTTATAAATTACTCAGTCTAAGGTATTTTGTTGTAGCAGCTGAATGGACTAAGACAACCTCTCAGAGGCACTGAGCATGTTATTGTTCACCTCTCCTCAGGGAAATGCTACTTTTGTATTTTTCTTTTTCTTTTTTTTTTGATACAGAATTTCACCTTTTTGCCCAGGCTGGAGTGCAATAGCGTGATCTCAGCTCACTGCAACCTCCACCTCCTATTTTTTTGTATTTTTAGTAGGGACGGGGTATCTCCGTGGTGGTCAGGCTGGTCTCAAACTCCTGACCTCAGATGATGCGCCTGCCTCAGCCTCCCAAAGTGCTGGGATTCCAGGCGTGAGCCACCGTGCCCAGTCCACTTTTGTATTTTACAACACCACACACCTTCACTTCCTTCCTGCTTCTCAGATTCTGTCTTTATCCTCTGCCCATTCTTTTAGTATTGGAAGGTCACAAGCTCTGTGCAGGACCCTCTTTTCATTATTCATACAAACTTCCTGAGAGATAAAGGACACTTTTTCCCACGCCTTCAGTGATTGTCTGGGTGGTAGGGAAGTGAGTGCACTGTGGAATAAAACTATCTGGGTTCAATCCCGGATTTTACCACTAACCACTAGCTATGTACCTTGGGCAAGTGACTTAGTTTCTGTAAGTCTCAATTTCCACATCTGTATGGAGGAATAATAATATCTACCTCATAGGACTGTTGTGAGGAAAGAGATAATAAATATAAAGCAATTAATGCCTGTATGTAGTAAGCCTTCAAATGTTAATTTTTATTGTTAATTTTATTATACTAATGACGTTCAAACCTGTTTGGTCAAAATCCCTTAGAGACTCAGGAGCCTCTATCCAACTGGATATTCAGTAACTCACCTTGATGTCACATGGACCACTCAAACTCAAGAAATCAATAATTAAAAGGATCATTCCCCCTCCTTTTGCCAAGCGTGTTCCTCTCCCTGAGTTCCCTGTCTGTAAGAATGGCAACACCATCCATGTGATTGTCCAAGTTAGAGGCAAAGGATGCATCCCTGTGCCCCGCTTCTCTATGAACAGTTCCAAATCCTC